TAGCAGGGCCATTTGCAATAGCCAAGTGCTGGACACAGCCTAAGTGCCCATTAGTTAATGAGTGGATCCACTGTTCAAGACAGTTTTGAACTCATTGATTTTGATGCCTTTTAGTACTTCTGCTGAAGGCAATGTTTCACCTCTTCCACATTGGCAAAACATTTCCCCTTGAAGACTTTTTTCATCTGGGACAAAAAAAAAGTTACTCATGGTGAGATCTGATGAATAGGGAGAGTAGGACCCTGGAGAGTTATGCTGTCTTTGGTCAAAAACTGCTGAACACTCAGTATGGGCAGGTGTGCTCGTAAATCACCCATCATGAAATGGGCAAACTCGTTGAAAGAGTCTTTAAAAAAATTCACTGAACACTAAGCAGCCTCTCACAACAACACCAGCTGGTACATTGATGCAGATGGGTTCCTAGAACACTCACCTAGTGGGGGAAGCTTGTACTGTAGGGGCTCACCTTCCAGAAGATAATTCCCGTTTTTCTGGGGGGGGGGTCCCCACAAGTCACAATATGTAGTATCTAAAAAGAAGTTCAAAAGGATACTAAGGGTCAGTGGCAATGAAAGGCTTGTCCCTGACCACACTAACATACAATGGCAGAATGGGTAACCTAATGTGAGTACCACACTTTCCAGCCCAGTGGCTTTTGCACTTTGTGTTTCTTCTTTGCATGATAGAAGGGGACCCTCAGTGATATCTGAGTGGTACAGTTTGGGGATGGGAGTATGTTTGCAGGAGAACAGCCAGTTGTCCTTCAGCCACAGAGTGACGGACCCTCATTTTCAGAGCCACCTCACTGGCAGGTGGGGACAGCATGTGGAACATCAGCCCCAGCATTGGGAGCCAGACGAGCTGTGGCCAGGTCTCCAGGGAAGGTCACATCAAGATTGTTGTAGGAGGTCATTGATTTCCTGTTGCTGTCACAAACATATGCAGCCTGCAAACATGGCTGCATAAAACAACACACATTCCTCATCTCACAGTTCTGCAAGTCAGAATTCCAGGGAATGGGCACGTAACTGCTTTCTCTGCTCAGAGTCTTCCAAGGCTGAGATCAAGGTGTTGGTCAGAGTTTATTTCCAGACTCGATTCAGGTAGCTGGCACAGTTCAGTTCCGTGCGGTTGTAGGGCTGTGTCTTTACGGCTCCTGGGCAAAGGTCATTCTCATCTCCAGCCACCTGCCCTCCTGGCCCTCTTCATCTTCAAAGTCAACAATGGCTGGTTGAGTTCCTTTCACACTTCGAATCTCTCTGACCGCACCTTTGGCTTCATCTCTTCCATCTCCAGGTGGAGAAAGTTCCTTGCTTTTAAAGGGCTTATGGGATTAAACTGGGTCCACCTGAGTAATTCACATGCTCTCCCTAATTTTGGGTCTGTAACCTCACCCTCATCGGCAAAGTCTGCTCTGCCATGTCACATAACACTTTCCCAGGTCCTGAGGGTAGGGACGCGCACAGCTTTGGGGGTCCATTCTGCCAACCGGAAAGGGGCACGGACTGCTGACCGCGTTTGATTACTGGTTTCTGTCATTGTGAGGAGGACACAGCGTGGACCAGCATGCCTGGTAGCATGTGGATGATCTGTACTTGGACCCATGCTTCTGCTCAGGCCGCCCCAGGGAAGGCCAGACCACAACCCCAAGCCAGTGTCTCAGGGGGGTTAATCTTAAGATAGCTTTTGAATATCTTTCTTCCACGATAGTGTTTAAAAAGCCCAGTTCCTTAGTTTGCCATCACTTTCATATGGGCCTCCTCCGTCCTCAAGAAGTTTTTAATCACACTACTATCTCCCCAGTAGCTTCTCCAAAGCATTCCCAGCACACTGTCTTTTATAAACCTCCCCACAGCCCTGGAAGGTCACGGTGATTGTAATGGTGATGATGACACTCCCATTTAAAAACGCTTGGCAAATGAGGCTCCAAAAGGTGAGTGATTTGTGGAAGGTCACTCGGCAGATGAGCCACAGAGCCAGGATTTAGACATCCCCATCGCAAATGCCAACTTCTTTCCACGATACCAAACAGCTTCGCCTCCCTTCCCCTTCACTTCATCTTGCTCCTCCTCATTTTTCAATTAATCAGTCCTTTTCATTTCCTTGTGGTACTATCTCTTCAACCCCACGCTTCATTTAAGTTGCGGTGCTACAAGCTGGTTGCTGAAAGCTGCCATTTCATTTCCATAGAGTGTTTATGCCTTATTTTTCACAGCTTTATTTGTTGGTATCCACGCTGAGTCCTGTGCCCAGCTGCATTTAATTCACAGCCACGGCACGCAGAGCCCAGATTCTATGGGAATGTGGGTTTTGCACAGTGCAATCCAGTCAGTGCCACAGACTGGAGACGTGTGGGAGGTAAAAACTCTATTATGAAAACCCTCTGAGCCAATGTCCTCTTTTTTTTTTTAATTGAGGGAAAATTTTGTATGTAACATATTAGTTTCAGGTGTATGACATTATAATTTGACATTTGCATACACTACAAAGGGATCAGCACCGTAAGTCTAGTTACCATCCATCACCATACAATGTCCTCTTTCTTGAATGAGTTTTAAGGCAATCAGATAAAATAAAGCTGAAGGCCATGGGGAAAGCCACCAGCTTAGACTAAGAAAGTCTGATTTGATTCCATTTAAGGACTAAATCATTGAACTTGGGCAGGTGATGGATGCCAATGAAGCACAAGTAACTTTGAATTGAAGAGAAAATAAGACCACAATGTAAAGAGGCAAGCTGATTGCTCAGATTTTTAAAAATATTTTTTAAATATATTTTATTGATTATGCCATTACAGTTGTCCTATTTTCCCCCTTCATTCCCCTCCACTCTGCACACCCCCTCCCCCACCATTCCCCCCTTTAGTTTATGACCACATGTCTCATGTGCTTTAGATTCTGCATTTCCCCTACTGTTCTTGCCCTCCCCCCTATTTTCTACCTACCGTCTATGCTACTTATTTTCTGTACCTTCTCCCCCCTCCTCCTTCTCCCACTCCCCTGTTGCTAACCCTCCATGTGATCTTCATTTCTATGGTTTGCTCCCGATCTAGCTGTCCTCTTAGTTTGCTTTTGTTTTAGGTGTGGTTGTTAATAACTGTGAGTTTGCTGTCTTTTCTTATTTTTGAAAAGAAAAAAAAGATAGTAATGATAGCCAGTGCTGATTGTACACAACCCACAGTTCTAGAGACTTTGTATATGTATCAGTTAATCATCACAACCCTGTGAGTTTATCATTATCATGCCCATTTTACAGATAAGGAACTTGATACAAAGAAAAGTTAAATAACTTGCCCAAGGTCGCACTGCTGATATTTACAGAGCCAGGATTTGAATCTGAGCAGTGCAGCTGCCGGTCCTCTGTCATACTGCTTCCCTGAAACTCATCCTTCACTAGGTTTTAAGAATTTTTTAAGAGCTAGTGGTGGGGAGTGGGGACCAGGAAGATGGAGGAGATGGGAGCTTTTTTTCCATTGTGAGGGCTCAAGGCCTTCCCAGTCTACTCTTCTCTTCTGACTACATGCCCCTGGGGTAGACTCTTTACTTCTGTGTGCGTATGTGGTGGGGACTGGTCCTCTTTTGAGAGGAGGGGCCCAGAGCAGCTGAGAGGTTCTGTCCAGTTTGAACGTGCAGTGGTTCTGAAAAATGACAGCCACCACCAAGCGAGTGGCAGTCAGGTGAGGCTAAAACAACACTGAGAGCAAAAGAGGTGGTAGAAAAAAAGTTTGCTATTATTTTTCATTTTGGAGTTGTTAATATAAAATAATTTTTTCAGCTGGGTGTTTCACTGGAAAGGGTAAATTACCATGTAAATTTTTTTTAAAGTTGGAGAAAAGCAAACCACGCCCCTGTTCCATATGCTTTCAGTGAACAGATTTGGAAGGCATTTAGATATTTTCTTCTTCGGAGGGATCTGTCCCTTCTGTAGCCTTGACGTGACAAGTTCTATTAGCAGCTACCTCGATGGGGTGATTCCTAAAATCAGGAGTCCAAAATCTGCATTCTGGCCCTGGCTTTATTCACTGGTTGGGTGTTAGGGGCTAAATAATCATCCCTTTCCACCATGGATCGCTTCTGGTCTGTGTAAAATGAATATGGTACCTGTTCAGTCTGCCTCACAGAGATGCTATTTGACATATGTTCTTGGGGAAAAAAAAAACCTATTCTGCGGTATAGATACTGGAGTAGCATAATCATTTTCAAGTCTGCTGTGGTTTCGCCCCTGCCGGTGGGAGCTGTGAGTGATTGAGGATCTTGTCACCTGGAAGCCAGATGTTTTCATCAGCAGAAGTCAAAGGGGTTGGGAGGTAGCCACTGGGACACTGGCTTGAAAAGCACATTTAAGGCACTTCTGTTCTCCTTGTCTCGACATCATGTGAGCTGTGGCCAGAATACATGCATGTCAAGATGCCCCAGCAGCATGAGAACCGTGTGGTCAGTGTAAAAGGAGAGATGTGAAAACGAAGGAGTCTGGAGTCTGCTGTCTGCTGGGAGGGGTGGGGAGGGTGTGAGGGGCAGGAAGCAAGCCATAACACCAGGCCGTCTGCACAGTCCGCCCACGGGGATGGGCTGACAGCCCCTCTGCCTGGAGTTAATATGGCCCAGCTCTTCCCTAAACAAGGGAAAATGAAATTTTCCAAGCACAGAATGAGTTTCTAGAACGTGCAGAATATACTAAGTTAAGGTCTCTGCTTCTGTTCTTGAGGGACTGTCACCTCCCTTTCCAGAGCCCCCCATTCTTGTTGTGACTCCTTGGTCCTTCACTGCTTCATGTGTAGCAGCAGTCTCGTAGACATCAAGACCCCGGGGTGAAATCGGAAAGCCACCAGAGTTGTGGCTCCCTCCTTCCCATCTGTAAACTGGGGCGCGGGTTTCAGAGGTGCAGAGAGAGTGCAGGGAGTGTGTGGTGTCGTCATTATGGCCCTGGGAATACTTCCCACCTGTGTTGCCGTGTATTGCTGACATTCTGTATCCTTTGGTTTTGCCTTTCATGTACCGCAGGATCGATAAACAAATAAGCAGGTTTCGGAGATGGTTACCGAAGAAGCCAATGAGGCTGGACAAGGAGACACTGCCAGACCTGGAGGAGAATGACTGCTACACTGCCCCTTTCAGCCAGCAAAGGATCCATCAGTGAGTGCTTCCGCGGAAAGCCCTTGTCCCACCAAGGACGAGCCATGGTGGGCGAGCCTTCTGCACGCCTTGGGCTCCCTGGCATGTGCAAGGAGTGACGTCATAGGGCCTTTCTCCCCGGAGGGTCTCGTCAGTGTTCATATCCCGTGTCTGTTAGTCAGGGTAAGGAAACTGCTCTAACCAACAGTGCGTACATCTTAGTGGCTTTGCACAATAGAACACATGTTCACATGTGTGTTAAAGGGTGGCCTTCTTCATGGTAATGCAGAAACCCAGATTCCTGCCTTGTGGCTCTGCCCATCCCCTGTTTTCTGAGGCCCCTGCAGGCTCCTTGGCACCCGCCAGTGGACAGAGAAGCTGGTGTGCACCTTTTCCTGTTGAAAAGGGGGTTGTTGGTTTGTTTGTTTTAAATCTTAATTCACGTCTCAGTTCCCCTTTCCTCAGCAACTGAGTTGCCCCAGGAAAAGCCACATGACCTGGCATCTGGCTTCCTGGCTCATCTATCAGACAAATCTCTGAACAATAAATAATCACTTTTGACATACAGGGGTGGGGGAGAAATTGGCTAAGAAACTGAGCCTTTGAGGACTTACAAAAGTCATAGAGAATTGACTCTGAAGCTTCTGAGATGACAGGAAGTCATGGCCCGATGGCAGGCTTGGTGGTAAGAGAGAAAAGCCTGCCAACAGTGGTAAACAACTAGGCAAAAACAGCCTTTCCAGGGCGGAGGGTAACCCAGGCCAGCCCAGACTCTCTCTCAGCCAAGCTTCAGGAATTCCTGGCTCTCCCTGTGCCAGTCAGAGAGACAGCCTCAGTAAAAATGACTTACCTAAGGGGAGGTAAGAGGTGATGGATTAAAAAAAAAAATAGATTGCTGACTTGGAGAAAAAAATAAACCAGATGGCAGTTAAGTTGCAGAGAGGGCGAGGTGGGGGCATGTTTTAGCAACAGAACATGAACGAAAGTCTCTGGACTTCTAGAGAGGAAAGGAGAGAAGAACAATTAAAACAGATGTTTGCGCATCCAAATAAATGATGCATAATGCAAGGGAAGCAATTCAGTAAGCCTCTGAGGTAACCAAACCCTAGATCCCACAGGTCAGAGTGAGGCCCACCCACCCACATTGTGTGAACACCTCAAGGGGTCATTGAAAAAGACAGGACACTCACAGCTCAGCCTCAGAGTCCTAGTTAAATTTCCCTTGGGACATAAGAACTCAGAGGGACTTCCTGTTAACTGGGAGATCAGGACCTACAGGTGTTCTCTTAAGAGAAAAAGACATGAAAACCGTGTTTCTGCTCTTACTTGAAACCCTCACCAGGCCTATGTTGTTCAACTTGGAGTTTCTTACACAAGTAATTGTTTGGTTTAAAATTCTTCTGGAGTAGAGTCTGACTCATACTCAGATTTTTCCCTCTGCTTCTCCCCTACCTGAGAGAGTACCTGGCACAGTGCTGGCTGGCTGGCTGGACGGATATACAAATAGGCAGATGGAGGGAGGGAGAGAGAGAAAGAGGAAGGGTGGAGGGAGGGAGGGATGAGTGAATTATATGGTGTATACTCTGGGATTTGTTTTACTTCAAAGACGTACTATAGGTAAATGGAAGAAGAATGAGATGGATGGTGGAAAAGATGGATGGAGAAATTAATGAAGTATATGGTGTGTGCACTGGGGTGTTGCTTTGTTTAAAAGGAATAAAGCTAAATGGAAGAGAAACTGGATAGATGGATAGGTGGATAGATGGATGAAGAATCAATGAAATCATGGTATGCGCCTGGGTTCTTGTTTCACTTCACAGATATATAGGTAAACGGAGGAAGGTTTCCTACTGCTCATCTTCACGCCGGTTCCATTTTTCTGATGTTCTTGTTTTAGGAAAAAATTTCTTAGCATATTCCTAAAAGCAAGAAGCTGGGTACCCCTCAGGATCTCTAGGTATTAGAATGGGGAATCATATCTTGATACATGTTTTAAAGTGTATGGTGGATGTAGATGATAGCCTGTGAAACAGTGGTGTTCAGCCATCTCGCTCACATACACGAGCAGCCTTTTCTGACGCATCCGGGTATTCATTCACCGAGTAACTGGTTCACTCAACAGTCACTAGTTTGGTGTCTACTTCTTGTCAGACAGTGGGCACAGAGAATATGCAGATACATTGTACACAATGTTGACCCCAGCATAGTAAAGATGGGAGACCATTTAAAATAATTTTAAACTGCGTAAGGGTGTGATTTAAAGACAGTTTAAATCTCACTCTATGCTCCAGATTTGTTAGGAGGTTGCTAAGAGATGAGGGTTGGTCAGAAGAAAAGGCTTGATATGGACCTTGAAAGGCCACACTTGTCCAGGTGGGGAACAGGGGGAACAAATCTCAAGAAGAGAGAATCATGGGAGAACAAAGGTCTGAGAGAGAATGGAGTGTTTGAAGAACTACAGGTAGTTTCTGTGGATGGAAATAGTGTGAAGCACTGGTATTAGTGCTTCAAAAAACAGAGTGATCAGTGGAAGACGAGCTTCCAAGGCAGGGGAACTGAGGGAAGAGCAGAGGGACAGCCAGAACGAAGGGAACCTAAGAACCAGACCTTACTGGGACCAAGAGGACAGTTTGATCATGCACTTGGGAGACAAAAAATTCAACAAGGTCTGGAATGCTGTGGGCAGTGGGGATTTCATTCTCTTTGAAAATTGTCCTGCTGCCCGACCACATCCCTTTAACCAACATGTGTATATGTAGGACTCGCAGAACACTGGCTCTCATGTTGGAAGCAAGTGTTAGGTGCGGTCGGAGAAACGTTTCCCTAAGCATGCAGTGGGAGCGATGTTAGTGGCTTTACAGTGATCTGAAGTAGGTGGTTAGTGAGCTTTGGGGGGTGTTCCAAATGCAATTCAAACTCCCATGTGATTTCCTGGTTTTGCAGAATGTTTGATACTGTGTTTGTCTAGGAATAGAGGAGAATAATAGGTGTCTGTGTATATAAATGCAGTAGAAAAAGACACAAAGAGAATCAGAAGTTTCGTAAAGAGTGATCAAGGTGGGAAAAGGCCTTAAAATCACTTTGCTCTCAGAATAAAAACCCAGCCTCCTAGGGAGCTCCCTCACTCCTGCCTGTACCCCGTGCCCCCCCCCCACCCATGTGCTTTGGCTCCACTGAGTTGCTTTGATCTCCTTAACTCAGGTGTCCGCCTGCCTCCTGTCTGCATGTGCCCTTCCCTGTGTCTGGAAGTCCCTGTCGCTTAGGCTCCCTTCCTCAGGTTTCATCTGAGATATTTCCTTCAGAAATTCTTCTGAGATTTGCAGCCCCCACCCCCAATTCTGGCTGATGTGCATTATGTCTTGGTAATATATGCTTTACTGTTGTAGCTCTTCATTAATAATACCATCAAGTTCAATTGCTTTCTCCTGGACTGTAAGTTCCTTGAAAGACTGTGTCTGCATCATCTTTGAATCCCATTGTTGGTGCTTAATAATGACTCGTTAAATGAACAAAACAAATGAATAGATAAAAATGAAAATAGAGGAACCATGTGTAAAGAATAAAGGTGATGTAAAGTTAGCTCACTGCACACTCACCTCAAACCAAACTGAAAACATCTTCCCCCCCAAACAGGCCCACATTCATTTTCCCCTATCCAGTGAATAGCACCAATATTTGTCCAGTCGCTGAAATGAGAGTCTGGAAGATATTCTAGGTACCTTCCTCACCTTCCCTTCCCGCATCTTATGTATCCCCAGGGGCTGATGGTTTTCATCCTAAATTTCTCTTTAATTCAGCAGCTTCTATCTGTCTTTCCCACCATCACCTCACTTGCAAAACCCAGAGATAATGTAATAGGTCCCCCTGGTTCTGTCCTCACCCGCCTCCAATCCATTCTTGCACGTGCAGGCAGAGGGACGTTTTCAAAATGTACATCCAATCCTGTCACTTCTCCCTGTTTAAAAACCTTAGAATAAATCTCAGAATTACTGAGATGACCAACAAGCCCTTGGATGGCCGGTAGGTCATCTCAGCAGTTCCCTCCTACTAATGCCTTTTCAGCTCTGCCTGCCTTCACTGCCTTCCACCTCTCCCTGCTGTTGTCCGACAGCCACAGCCTCTCCTGCGGTCCTTCGAGTGCTCCCTGCATCTCGGCATTTGCACGTGCTGTTTTTTCCCCTAGAATTCTTGTCTCATTCTTCCCATTCACCTAGTTTGCTTTCATTTGTCCTTCAAAATTATGCTCCAAAAACTCTTCCAAAGGAAGCCCTCCTCCCATCTTTCCAAAGAAAAGGTCTCCTTGCTATTCAGCTGCAAGTTTCTTTTAGCTGCATGTTTCTTGCATAACATTTTAATTATTTAGGTATTGCATGATTGATGCCTAACTCTCCAGCTAAACCTCAAACTCCATGGAGGCATGGGCCCTGTCTGCTTTTGCTCACAACTGTATTTCCAGTACCTAACGCAATGCTTGTCACACAATAGATGCTCAGCGCTTGTCTACTGAATGGATGAAGTAAGGATAAAAGTAAAAAAAAAAAAAGAAGCAGGAAATAATATAACCATATACCTTTATACTTTGAACTACATTGTATAAAAAACTTAAACTTGAGAATTGATTAAAAAACAAATAGCATTCTACTTGAATATATATCTGTGTTTCGGAAGCAATAAAAGCGAACCTGCAGGTACACCTCTCTCTAAGTCGGTATAGGACGTCAGTGGTCATTTTACCGTATCACCAAAGGTGGGCCTACAGATGGGAAAACTCTTACTAGATGCCAGACATGATTTTAAGTACTTGAATCCTCACAATGGCCTTATGAGAGAGGTGTTTCTACCATTCTACAGATGAGGCAGGCGAAGCACCAAGAGGGTGAGGAACTGCCGTGGGTCACGCAGCTGGGATGGCAGAGCTGCCTGAGCAACCCCAGACATCAGTGTTTCCACACTGTGGACGTTTATTATGTTCATATCAGTGTCCCCTGTGGGTCACTATGAGGAAAGAGGTGCAATGTCTC